TCAACACAGTTAACATTGCAGGAAAGCAATATATTAGACGTTAAGTACTTTGTCAGGCTTAATATTTATCTGTAGATAGATACCCCCAAAGCTTTTTTCTTATTTGAAAGAAAACCTAAAGTATTCTTTAATGTGTTAATAAAGGTTAATTAGTTTGTCTGTTTTACACATCCTCATATTAATATCTTTGTACATCAGGCACTAAACTGTTTTATTGTAGAGATCACTTACAGCAGGGCTATTCAATTGGCGGCCCGCGGGCCAAATCCGGCCCCGGGGTTATATTTACTGGCCCTTTGAGTATAATGTTAAAAAGTAATCAATTTTTTTTTTTTAAGATTTTTTTTTTTTTTTTTTTTTGTGCCATAGTGCCTTTATTCCAGAGAGGGTGTTACATTGAGAGATAGAGGGGTAGACAATGCCTGAAAACTTCGACTGGCTCGGGTTTCGAACCCACCTACTATACTGTAGTGACAACTCCTGTCATTGATTGCATCTCTGCGTGAATGATTAGATCATTTCACCTAAATAAAATCAAATGAAACATGTAGGCCTACTGAGTTCTGAACTTGCCATTTAGATCCATAAAGGCCTTGGGGCTATGTTGTTTGATTGAATTAAACACAATATATGCACTCCACTATGCTGTTGTAGTATTTACTGTATCTGAAGCTCTTAAATATGATTGCTCATATTTCAAGCCATCTTTTTCCCGGCCCCTTGCTTTGGATCATTTTCATCAACCGGCCCCCATTCCAAACTAATTGAATAGCCCTGACTTACAGTATCTTCTTGATTTTTTATATTCTATATTTCTATCATTGACCTTCTACTTTCCCCCTATGAAAGTATGTACTCTTAATATTTTATTCATCAAATAACATTATTCAACAAAAATAACATTATTCAACAAAAATAATTAAATAACGTGCTTTAACCACTAGACGGTGCACACAAGGTACACACAGTATACTAATAATAACTTTGTATTATTAGTGTAGGACACTTATGTATGTATAACATCTGAAGATGTGTAGTTTTATTCATGTTTTTACATAATTGTACATTATTCTCATGTTTACTTCTACACATTAATATCTGATTTGTAAAACATCAAAGACAGAAAGGTATATCCGTCATTTAATGGTAAGCTATTGAAATTGTGATTCCAGAGATGTGTCTCCCATCACCCAAATCCCCTGACTCTTCTCTCAACTCAGTATTTACATTCTTCTATTCAAAGAAAATCAGTAATATCTTTAAAAACTACAAGTCCTTTTCTATCAGCTGTGCACCGTTATGGTGTAAATATAACCTATCTACCAATTGGATCAAATATAAAAGTCAGCCGTATTAGTATTGATACTGCAAGGAGACGTATTTTGTGAAAAGAAATGTAAGATGTTGTTTAATTGTTGATATATTTATGATCCACGTCACGTATTCAGTTTCGGCGGCAGTTCTTCCTGTTTGTCCAGAAGTCTTCTCATCAGGGCTCTATAAATAAAGAACTATGGCAGATGTGTAATATTTAATGCAGCCGAACCGTGTATTACAATGCTGTTATGTGATGACTTTCAAAGAGAAAAGCAAGAACACTCGGAATAAAGTATTATTATTTTTTTTTTTTATGTTTTCGGATTTCACATCGCATAAACACCATATCCCAACGTGCATTGCGGCTAAAACATCCAATCAGCGAGCTGAGGATCTTTCCTACGTCTGTTTCCGGTATTGTTCCTGTAATGAGAGTTCACATTTATGCTACATTGAAGGGTGGAATTGACTACACATCTTCAGAAACATAATTTGCTTCAGATATATACTGTAACTCATAGCAATATTGTAACCATTAAGAAAAGCCAACTGCATTAAAAACCCAGTTAACAAACACTAGGTAAAGTATTTTTCCTTCAGTAATGAAGATGTAATTCCAATGTAGACACACCTGGGGTCGCTGTTCAGTCTGTTACGCTGAGCCATGCATTGTCTGGAACGTAAAAGGGACGAAGAAGACAAAGTGAAGTGACGTACTTCCGGTTCAATGTGAAAACATTCCCAGGGTGTTTCTCAATCGCGAGTATGCTTGCTTGGTAGCACATGTCTGCCGAGCATCTTGCTTCAGAAGCGAGGCAAGAATACTACCTAGCATTCGGAAAACAAAGAGTGGAACAGGCTAGCAAGTGTGCAGGTGTGCGTTATATGAGAGGCCCCGCCTTACATCTTCCGCCACAGATTTGGGGAAATTGGTCCGTGCGCAAAGCATTGTGGGGATTTTAAGACCGCAGAGTCTACTCATGTGCAGCCTCGATATTTCTCCAAACGGAGTACGCCGGGCTCGGTAGATTTCCAAGTATGCTGGAGATTGGAACAGTACTTCGGCGGCACTCGATGACGTAGTATGCTTGAAATAGTGGCTCTGCAGCAGCTTTACTCGCGATTGAGAAACACCCCCAGTTAAACCATAGATATATATAAAAACATATGTTTATATATATCTATGAGTTAAACAACAGAAACAAATGGCTTAATAAAAAGATAAAACACTGGCATGTAATTTACGTTAGAATAAATAGAATGGTTTTGAATAATAGATGAGAGTAAAATCTACGTCACAGCCCCACCCACTTTTGGGGAAACCAACGCTGTCATTTGAACGGCGATCAAGCCTGAAGCCACAGAGCTCTTCTGCTGTCCTTAGAGGAAGTTTGAGGTGTTTGAGGTGCAATAAACGACACAGCAGCTTTTTGGCATGTTAAAACTCTGCCTCGCAGCTGGCGAAATTACAGCCTCGTCTACTGATTTTAATTTAACCATAGGATATCAAGCCCGATCGTCGATTTCAAATGTGTGCTCTAAAATGATATTTATAAATGACTATTATCATTATTATAAGCAAGACAATAAATGGCAAAGATATGTAGAAAATAAACGTATTTGAGATAAGTTCATAACAAACGTAACGTGGGAGAAAATATGTTTCTAGAAGATATGTAGAAAATAAACGTATTTGAGATAAGTTAATAACAAACGTAACGTGGGAGAAAATATGTTTCTAGAAGATATGTAGAAAATAAACTTATTTGAGATAAGTTCATAACAAAAGTAATGTGGGAGAAAATATGTTTCTAGAAGATATGTAGAAAATAAACGTATTTGAGATAAGTTCATAACAAACGTAATGTGGGAGAAAATATGTTTCTAGAAGATATGTAGAAAATAAACGTATTTGAGATACGTTCATAACCAACGTAAAGTGGGAGAAAATACGTTTCTAGCTAAACGTAATTGAGAATGCAGTTTAGTTCTGTGGGAACGTAATTTTTAGGAGACAGGGTTGTCTCCGGGGACTTCCGGCGACAATCTTGATTCTGATTGGCCAGAAGACTCGAAAAAACATCAGCAAAGATGTTTTATTGAGAAGATGATCACTACGTGACAGAAGTTTTCAAAACCGTTTATGGTCTCCGTTACTTCCAGTCCAACGCCTACTGCATGCACAGCGTTATAAAATCGGGCCTTCAAAATAAAAGTTTGACTTTTTTCCAAAAACACACATCTGCGACCCACTCGAAACGGGTCCGCGACCCACTTTTCGGTCGCGACCCACCAGTTGAGAACCACTGCTCTAAAATACACATATTCTGTTCCCAAACTCTCCTAAAATGTGGATAGCTCAGCTTTTAGTGTGGGTACCAATGTACTAAATCATACCTGTTACACTATATGTTTATATCTAAATGTTTTCTGCAAAGCACTTTGAATAGAGAGGTATAGTGATGAATAGGGAGGCTGTGGCTCAGTGGATAGGGTGCTGGACTTTGAATCAGGGGGTAGCAAGTTAGAGTCCCACTGCAGTCAGCATGTCGTTGTGTCCCTGGGAAAGACACTTCACCCCAAATTGTTCCTGTGGGGATTGTCCACAGTAGGCTACTGAATGTATGTAAGTCGCTTTGGATAAAAGTGTCTAATAAATTACATGTGATGACGTATTCTTGTAGGCAAACCTGACACCTTTTTAAGAAAACCGCTCAACATTTTTATCTCTAAACTCCATGAAGCAATATCTATCATTAAATGAATCCTATCATGAAAAAAATCCCTCTATACTTTCCAAAAGTCCTGCGTTTATGTGGACTCTGTACCCATTCATGCTTTATTGTTGAAGTAAATGGCTAACACATTACATCAGGTTTCAGGAAAGACTGAGATGTTATTCTGATGATAGAGTAAGTGTGTTTGATAAGATCCCTGCACTTCTCTTTTTGCAGCTGCTTTTTATAATCAAATAACTATTGATTTTTTTATACTGCATTCTAACTTTTATTCTTGTACTTGTGTTATTATTCTATTAAAGCTTGTTTCAGTTTGTTTTCACTTGACTTTTAAATGACTGAAACGCAATGCTTTGTAATGTTTTATGTAAAGCACTTTGAATTGCCTTTTATTTGAAATGTGCTGTATCCATACACTTGTAATAATTGTATACATTTGATTTTCTATTCAATTTGGTTTGTAGTTTTTTAGCGTATAATGAATAAACATGTATATGTGTTGCCTATTGAAGGCTTGCCTGAACTTGTTTTTGTGACACAGATTTCATTATTTTTGTACAGCTAATTTTATTTTTAGGGACATTTCATATTCATAAAAAGAGATGGCCTGACTCCAAACATTTCTTTTTACATTTTACCAAAGAACTTAAACAATATTTAAAAACATTATGAATAAAAAGCTAGATTGAAAGATAACTGTAATTGAAATCTGTTTATAATGCATTCACACAGTCGAAGATTTATTTTGTTCTTTCAAACTTTGTGGCTCTCAGCCTGTATTGCGTGTGTTTATCTCATGGATGTATAATGTTTAACTAGTTCACTCTTAATTTCTGAAACATGACGCTCGGTTGGTGATTGGTCAAATGCTGCAAACCCCGCCCCTCACCCAGACTGAGAGGAGTTCTCTGGGCTGACAACTGACCTGATAACAGCGTTTCAGGACCGCCTATACCGTTTGATAGGGTTAGTTGAGCCAGAAAACACAAAGCTATCCTCGGTATGTTGAACCGTTTTGTTTAGGACATCCAGTTCAGAATCCCTCACAAACTTTATAACTTTAACGAACTGTCTTAAGTTGCTCCTGCAAGTTACAGTGCTTCCTCAAAAGACACCATTTTGATCGTTTGAACATTCAACACATACCAAGGTAAGGTAAACATTTCCTGCATATTTCCTGCTGCAGAATGTCAGACTCTTACACTTCACATTTGTAATATATGATCATTAAGGACCCAACGTGACACGGGTGTCACATGAACTTTAAATGTTCTGGAAAGTTCCTTATACAAGTTTAGCCGTTATTTTATCTCATGAAGTCCTTAAGTGACACACTGAACAGTCTGGTGGGTCATGGTCCGGGTCATGGTCCAGGTCATGTGATGTTGTGTTCCCATAACAACATGTCCATGTGCCAGACTAACACATGTGACCGAACTAGCTACATTTCGAAAGCCTGTTTGTTGTTGCTAAAGGTAACATTCAAGCCATTTAAGAATTAAAATGCTTACATAACATGTCCTTTATTACATTTAAACTGTTGTGGAAACATGTCTTGATCAAATTGATATGAAACAAATGAGACAAACATCGCTGTGACACTGATGCAACATCGGGACTTTAACCCTAAACGTTCACAGTAAACCCGGAGTGACATATATGCACAATTAGAAATATGATCTGCTCAGTTAATTTAGCTGATTCAATTATATTTAGTTAATATATTCTTTATTCTTCAATTCAAAGAATGTTCAAACTAATTTAAACCAAAAAATCATCCTCATTAATTAAGTTATAAATAAGAGTTATTTTACCATTAAAGCCCAATGTGACATATCACATTTCAGATATTTGACACTAGGAGGGGTTACTTGTCAGAAATGTGTTCTAGGTGGTCTATTTAGTCTAAATGACGTTCCCCTTAATTTCCCCAAAAGTAGAAATGGGTCCGGGTTCTTATGGGTTAAATGGTAATGAAAAAAACTGCAACTTCTTTGCACACTTGTCTAATGTATAGCATACTATGTTTCTTTTCTAGATTAAGTATATTGGTCTATTATAGTGTATTGTAGCATATTACTTTCTACTCTTGATATGCATATTTTACTGTTTGTTTTACTCTTTTACAATGCCTTGAAAACCTGCTGCTGCCATAACAAAACATTTCCCCAATTTTAAATCTATCTATGATTGTATCTGTTTATGACATTATTTAAGAAAACATAACTACATACATGCTTTTATATATGATTTATTTGTGACATTGTCAAACACAGAAAGCATACATACATAGACCCTCACATGTTCAATACAGGGAGTAAAAGAGACCATTCTACCAGGGTCATCATACATGCTTTTCATTTTAGCTGTAGAATTGCATTAAATTGGCCATATGTAATTATTAACCATCCTGTGTCTTACAGGCACGATGAATTTGGAGGAATACTTCAAAAGAATTGGTCTTCAAGGCTCTTTTGATAAACCGGATCTCGAAACACTGAAGCTGATCCACAAACAGCACGTCATGTCCGTTCCTTTTGAAAACCTCAGCATGCACTGTGGAGAGCGGCACATCCTGGACCTGGAGTTCACGTTCAACAAGATAGTGAGGAGCGGCCGGGGGGGGCTGGTGCCTCGAGAACAACTCCCTGTTTGGATGGGTGCTGAGAGAAATGGGTTACGACACTACCAGGTTGTCCTCCAGAGTTTTCAACAGTAGCACAAATGAATTTTACCCCACCGATAGTCATCTCATCCACAAAGTCGTCGTTGATGGAAAGGCTTATATAGCAGATGTGGCCTTTGGGGTTTCTTTCCAGATTTCGGAGCCCATGGAGCTCGTCTCTGGAAAGGATCAGCATCAGGCGGCGGGCGTCTTTCGCTTCTTAGACAAGGGAGACAAGTGGGTTCTGGAGAAGACGAGCAGAAAGACGAAGGTTCTCAATCCAGACTTTGCTGATTCTAGTCTTGTGAAGAGGCAGGAGACGAGGGCGATATACTGCTTTACCTTGGAGCCTCGAGAGGTTGAGCATTTCTACGAAGCAAACAACACACTTCAGACGGATCCTAAATCGCTGTTCATGAATAAATCCATCGTGTCTCTGCAAACAGCGACAGGATTCAGAGCGCTTGTGGGCTGGACCTACAGCGAGGTCACCTTCAAACCAGAGGAAGGTGTCGATGTCTTCGACCTGATAAACATAGAAGATGAGGAGAAAGAGCAAGTTCTTCTGGAGAAGTTCAATATAAAGCTGCAGAAGAAACTGCAGATTGTAAGCAACAAAACCTGCTACACACTCTAAAACAGTGGTTCTCAACTGGTCAGGCCTCGGGACCCACTTTTTCCTTTCTCAATAAATTGCGACCCGAAATTTTGAAACACTCAAATCTAATCAACAAAAAATCGTGCTGTAATATATACGCTTTTCAGCATACAATATTAATTAAACTGAAGTACAGTGCATATATCCCTTATATCCCTTTACAGAACTAAAGTATGCTTTTAAAAAATGTTTAATGAGATAATGGAATCAAAGCTGAACTGTATAACATAGAAAGGCACACATGCTGAAAACCCAACCGCAGAATGGGGGGATTGTCTAGTTTGAATAGTTCTACCGCAAAGTTATTCTCCGGGGACTTCCGGCGACAATCTTGATTCTGATTGGCCAGAAGACTCGAAAAAACATCAGCAAAGATGTTTTATTGAGAAGATGATCACTACGTGACAGAAGTTTTCAAAACCGTTTATGGTCTCCGTTACTTCCAGTCCAACGCCTACTGCATGCACAGCGTTAGAAAATCGGGCCTTCAAAATAAAAGTTTGACTTTTTTTCCAAAAACACACATCTGCGACCCACTCGAAACGGGTCCGCGACCCACTTTTCGGTCGCGACCCACCAGTTGAGAACCACTGCTCTAAAATACACATATTCTGTTCCCAAACTCTCCTAAAATGTGGATAGCTCAGCTTTTAGTGTGGGTAAATCAATGTACTAAATCATACCTGTTACACTATATGTTTATACCTAAATGTTTTCTGCAAAGCACTTTGAATAGAGAGGTATAGTGATGAATAGGGAGGCTGTGGCTCAGCGGAGAGTGTGCTGGACTTTGAATCAGGGGGTAGCAAGTTAGAGTCCCACTGCAGTCAGCATGTCGTTGTGTCCCTGGGAAAGACACTTCACCCCAAATTGTTCCTGTGGGGATTGTCCACAGTAGGCTACTGAATGTATGTAAGTCGCTTTGGATAAAAGTGTCTAACAAATTACATGTGATGACGTATTCTTGTAGGCAAACCTGACACCTTTTTAAGAAAACCGCTCAACATTTTTATCTCTAAACTCCATGAAGCAATATCTATCATTAAATGAATCCTATCATGAAAAAAATCCCAATATACTTTCCAAAAGTCCTGCGTTTATGTGGACTCTGTACCCATTCATGCTTTATTGTTGAAGTAAATGGCTAACACATTACATCAGGTTTCAGGAAAGACTGAGATGTTATTCTGATGATAGAGTAAGTGTGTTTGATAAGATCCCTGCACTTCTCTTTTTGCAGCTGCTTTTTATAATCAAATAACTATTGATTTTTTTATACTGCATTCTAACTTTTATTCTTGTACTTGTGTTATTATTCTATTAAAGCTTGTTTCAGTTTGTTTTCACTTGACTTTTAAATGACTGAAACGCAATGCTTTGTAATGTTTTATGTAAAGCACTTTGAATTGCCTTTTATTTGAAATGTGCTGTATCCATACACTTGTAATAATTGTATACATTTGATTTTCTATTCAATTTGGTTTGTAGTTTTTTAGCGTATAATGAATAAACATGTATATGTGTTGCCTATTGAAGGCTTGCCTGAACTTGTTTTTGTGACACAGATTTCATTATTTTTGTACAGCTAATTTTATTTTTAGGGACATTTCATATTCATAAAAAGAGATGGCCTGACTCCAAACATTTCTTTTTACATTTTACCAAAGAACTTAAACAATATTTAAAAACATTATGAATAAAAAGCTAGATTGAAAGATAACTGTAATTGAAATCTGTTTATAATGCATTCACACAGTCGAAGATTTATTTTGTTCTTTCAAACTGTGTGGCTCTCAGCCTGTATTGCGTGTGTTTATCTCATGGATGTATAATGTTTAACTAGTTCACTCTTAATTTCTGAAACATGACGCTCGGTTGGTGATTGGTCAAATGCTGCAAACCCCGCCCCTCACCCAGACTGAGAGGAGTTCTCTGGGCTGACAGCTGACCTGATAACAGCGTCTCAGGACCGCCTATACCGTTTGATAGGGTTAGTTGAGCCAGAAAACACAAAGCTATCCTCGGTATGTTGAACCGTTTTGTTTAGGACATCCAGTTCAGAATCCCTCACAAACTTTATAACTTTAACGAACTGTCTTAAGTTGCTCCTGCAAGTTACAGTGCTTCCTCAAAAGACACCATTTTGATCGTTTGAACATTCAACACATACCAAGGTAAGGTAAACATTTCCTGCATATTTCCTGCTGCAGAATGTCAGACTCTTATACACTTCACATTTGTAATATATGATCATTAAGGACCCAACGTGACACGGGTGTCACATGAACTTTAAATGTTCTGGAAAGTTCCTTATACAACTTTAGCCGTTATTTTATCTCATGAAGTGACACTTTGGGTGTTTCTCAATCGCGAGTACGCTTGCTTGGTAGCACATGTCTGCCGAGCATCTTGCTTCAGAAGCGAGTCAAGAATACTTCCTGGCATTCGGAAAACAAAGTGTGGAACACGCTAGCAAGTGTGCAGGTGTGCGTCATATGAGAGGCCCCCGCCTTACATCTTCCGCCACAGATTTGGGGAAATTGGTCCGTCCACAAAGCATTGTGGGGATTTTAAGACCGCGGAGTCAACTCATGTGCAGCCTCGATATTTCTCCAAACGGAGTACGCCGGGCTCGGTAGATTTCCAAGTATGCTGGAGATTGGAACAGTACTTCGGCGGCACTCGATGACGTAGTATGCTTGAAATAGTGGCTCTGAAGCAGCTTTACTGAGTAGCATGAAGCTGCAGCATTGGAGACTGCACTCTCAGGACCGCACTCCCAGGACCCTCGTTTTTCGTGACACTGCCACCTAGCGAGCAGGAGACCTGAATATGAATGACAACGCAGAGAGTGTGAGTAATGTGAAGTGCTTTTAAAGTTTTATTTGTTTAACATTAATAACAATTCCGGTGTCTTGAAATGAAGTGTGATTAGCTAACATTAACTATGATAGTCTTAAGGCAATACAAACAAACATCTGTTAGCTTATGATAGCTTCTAACAGTATTAAAGGCACTAAAAACAATTATTCGTTAGCTATAGCTTTCGGCAAAAGCATTATTAGCAAAAGCATTAGTTTCGTTAGCATATTTGATTATTTGTTTAATGAGACTGTAGCGTGATTTTGGCAAGTCCAACTAGGTGTCCTACATTAATTGTTGATTTAATCACTAATTACAGTAAGAGTGTGAGTAATGTGAATCATGTTGTTTGTTTAAAGTTAACAACTATTTTGGTGTATTCAATTGGACAGCAATACAAGCAACACGTGCTAAATGTCATCTGTTAGCCTATGATGACTCGCTGCAAAACCAACTGTTAGCCTTTTTGTTTATTTGTTTAATGAAACCGTATGTTATGGTTATGTTATTTAGCAGAGGCTTTTATCCAAAGTGACTCACAAAAAACATAAAATAACCATAATTAACATTAGAATATCAATACAAATAGGTAAATAGTCAGTTACATTACTTATTACATTTTTAACAGGGTAATTAGTGATCTGTAACCTACTACATTTAAAAAAAGTAAACTTCCCAACTCTGATCATTAATTATAGTCAGCTAATTAATTAAACTTCAAAGGATGACAAAAGCATGTCAATATGATCTGTCTGTCCGCTACATTAAATCAGCAGTAGCCTAAGTTCTGTCTTCAGTATAAATGCTTCTTTAATAGTCATTGTATTACTATTTGAAGTCATTGTAAATAATATTAACTGTGCTGACTGCCTGTTTACTGTTTATCAGACAGTCTCATAATTCTGACATGTTTTGCAATATTGCATGAGGTGTTTTAGTCAGTTATTATTATTCTCATGGAGCGTTTTGAAATACAAGGGTATGAAAGCCCTTAACAATATGTGTATTTTAATTTCAGTAACACTTTATTTTGAGGGTCACTTGTAGGTTATCTACAATCTCTCAACAAACTCAGTAGCATGTCAATAGAACATCTGTTAGTTATATTAGGTTAACCATCTACAGATCAGTAGACCATCAGTAACAAGAGCTGTAAGACTCTGGATGGCAATATCTGTTGAGATTATTAATGCATATCAATTGTGCACCAATGCCTTAGCCTTTCCCTATGCAATACTTTAGATTACATCTTGTTCTTATTGTTTCAAAGGCATGGCCAAAGGTTTGCCTTCTGGACTCTGGAGGCCAGAAGCTTGCTCGAGGGAACCCTTCAGCCAGTGTTCAGAGTGCCACGACAGAGTGCCAGAATGGATATCTCCCAGGAGAAGGTGGTCAACAGCAGACCAACAGCAGATTGAAGAATCCACAGTGTGGAAATTGTGCCCAATAAATGTATTCTGCACTGAAATGCCTCTCGGTCAAATTGCATGTTTATCTTTTGCAGCCTGGTGCATAAACACACTAACAGTTGTTTTTCAGTAATCTAGCACCTCTTCAAAGACACATTTGATTTGATTTATTTTGAACGTGTAATACAATAAAAAAATATATATAATACATGTATGTCGACATACAATATACATTTACAATTATAAATAGATGATATCATTATTACTACAATATATATATATTTACGTTGTATGTCAAATTTGATAAGACAAATATAAAAGACTATCTTTTTACATCTGACATACAAAATACATTTTAACAACAAATTGTTGTTGTAAAAAATAAATAAAAGAAACAATAATAAATATAATAATAATAATAAAAACATATTTTCATGCATGTAAATGTCTACTTTTGCGATTTTCATGCATTTTTAGATGGTTAATAACAAGCATTACAATGTCTACTTTTGCGGTCATCCAATCCGCTAGGTGGCGATGTTGCAAAACAACTAGGGTCCTGGGAGTGCGGTCCTGAGAGTGCAGCATCCAACGCTGCAGCTTCATACTATTGGCTTTACTCGCGATTGAGAAACACCCACTGAACAGTCTGGTGGGTCATGGTCCAGGTCGTGTGATGTTGTGTTCCCATAATAACATGTCCATGTGCCAGACTAACACATGTGACCGAACTAGCTACATTTCGAAAGCTTGTTTGTTGTTGCTAAAGGTCAAATTCAAGCCATCTAAGAATTAAAATGCTTACATAACATGTCCTTTATTACATTTAAACTGTTGTGGAAACATGTCTTGATCAAATTTATATGAAACAAATTAGACAAACATCACTGTGACACTGATGCAACATTGGGACTTTAACCCTAAACGTTCACAGTAAACCCGGAGTGACATATATGCACAATTAGAAATATGATCTGCTCAGTTAATTTAGCTGATTCAATTATATTTAGTTAATATATTCTTTATTCTTCAATTCAAAGAATGTTCAAACTAATTTAAACCAAAACATCATCCTCATTAATTCAGTTATAAATAAGAGTTATTTTACCATTAAAGCCCAATGTGACATATCACATTTCAGATATTTGACACTAGGGGGGGTTACTTGTCAGAAATGTGTTCTAGGTGGTCTATTTAGTCTAAT